TTGTGGGCGCAATTGTCGCCCGATTTATTGAAAAACTGATGGCAACGTCGGGCACCGATCCCTATGATATACATCTGGTGGGTCACAGTCTGGGCGCACAGATCTGCGGCTTTACGGGCAAAAATCTTCAATTGATAACGAATGGGACGTTAAAAGTTGGACACATCACTGGCTTAGATCCGGCCGGACCTGGATTTACGGGCAAAAGACTGGACCCGGAAGACGCCAATCTGGTCACTGTTATCCACACCAGCGCTGGTGTCACCAAGAACAGTTTGTGTTTATTACAATAACATTATGCTTTATTAATTATTAAATGGACTGACATATAGCTAATCCGTTTTCGGGCGAAAACCCTCTGGAATCGGTTCAGTTATTTGGTTTTCTCGGCTGTAGTGATTCATTGGCTCACTTTGACTTCTGGCCAAACGGGGGTTTGATTTTACATTATATCTATTGATTGCTAAAAAAACATTAAATGCTGTCAATTATGTTAATTTATACCGAAAACTGTGTACTTGTAGGCAGTGGTCAGCGCGGCTGCGAGAAGATATCGGCCGAGTTTCTTAATGAGATCGCGACCTCAGGATTCAATGGTAAGACAATGACTAAACAAAATTCATTATTATTTGCGATCATTAATAAGATGTTTGCCGTAAACAAAGCGTTGGCCCAAAAGGCCAAATGTGATCACTCGAGAGCCACAGAATTGCCAACATATGAATTAGAAGAGCGACAACCGGACAGTTGCCAAATGATTGGCTACCAGTGCGAGAGTTACGGCGATTTTAGCGCCGGGAAGTGCGCCGATTGTGGCCCCGATAATGAACTGTGCCGTCCGATGGAGTTCTGGCCAGAATATTGGCCCAAACGTATCGATACGCCCACAACTTTATTACTAAACGAGTTATTTCTGTTGACTGCCTCAAAGGATCCCTTTTGTCTTTTTCACTATCAGATTGTGGTAAATATACTGATATATTGATAATTTACTCAGTTTTCAATTGGATTTAAACGTATTTAAAGATACTGATGGAGGAGACATCAGTGGCCGGCACTTTCACCCTTAACCTCAAAACTGTTAAACCAATTGTTGCTGAGATTGAGAGCGATTTGTTTGGCTTCAAGTCGGGCCAGAATTATACCTATTTATACACAGATAGTCAGCATTTGGGACAAATAGCCGAAGTAATGGTCAGTTTTGAAGAGAATATCGCCGGACAATTGTCATCGTTTGGTCAAAATTTCAATCCCTTCGCTCCAAAAGTTGTTACAAATGATCCCAAAATAGCAATCATTTGGGACAAATAGCCGAAGTAATGGTCAGTTTTGAAGAGAATATCGCCGGACAATTGTCATCGTTTGGTCAAAATTTCAATCCCTTCGCTCCAAAAGTTGTTACAAATGATCCCAAAATAGCAATGATTTCTATTAATTTTATGAGCAATTTTGACAAAAGGTTTGGAAATTTATTGATTTATTATATTGTATAATAAAATTATGTTTTCTATTTTTTTATTTGATATATTGATATATTTCTTAACTATTTTAATAGTATACGTGATAAATATTCATCGAGATTATATGCCGACGCCGAGACGCCGACAATATTTCATATCAAAACAAACGCATAAAATATTCAAATTATTTAATTATAATATTGTGTTAAATTGTATTACAACGATAAACCCATTGACAAATCCAGGTGTTATTGTTTATAACTTTTTTACAAAATATCTGTTATTTTTATCACCGGAAAGGTTTTAAGTTTAATACAATAATTTAAAATATTAATTTAATATAATTTATTGTAAATCAATCATTTTAAACACCTTTTACTACAAATTTTATGATTCATTTCATTAAATGTTTGATTAAATTTAAAAATTTAAAATATGTTTTCATGTGACGGTAAATTTGTTATGACAATAACCAATGCCAGCCATAAACATCCCGAGCATGCGAACAGCACAGAAAGTGCTATTAGGGTTAAACAGGTATATAACAGATTATACAGTAATTATTAACTAAATTAATTGTTTGCTTTTACTTAACGCGGCTTTTAATTAGTGGCAGTATTTGATCGACAAAATCATATTTTTAATTTACACAAAATATGATATTTGACATCAAAATTATCACATTCTTCGCGATCGCCATTAAGGGAATCGCTGGCGTCTACGAAACTGAAGAATGTAAGTCCAGACAAATAACAAAAAATAGTTTACCATTTAATCCAATGATAATAACCTAACGGATTAGGTAAGAGTGACCACTGTTTCGAAGACGTCGGCTGTTTTAATAGCCGACAATTTTTGGACGAAATCGACAAATACGCGCATTTCATACGGAAAGCGGCAAATCTGGTTCACTCGGACGCCTTCTCAAAGCTCAACAACGACTTCATGATATGTCCGGCCGACCCGACCCACGCCGACGTCCACTTTCGACTCTATACACCCAACGCAACACAGAATGTGATCCTTACGTACAAAGCGGACACTACTGTACTCAAGAACTCGGGCTTTGATCCCGAACTGAAGACACTGTTTGTAGTGCACGGATATGTAGACAAGTATAGGGGTTGCGATGACTACCAGGAATGTCATTGGATGGAAGTATGAATTATAGCACAATTAGTAAATGCATTTTTCATGAATTATTAAAAAAAACCCATACAGAGAATCAAGAATTATTTCATTTCACACGATTATAACGTGGTGGCAGTGGACTGGAGCAAAGTGGGCAGTTCACCCAACTACTTTAACTCGGCGTTTAATACGCGAGTGATTGGCGCTATGATCGCCACATTCATCCGACGTC